TTGCCACTTGGGGCGACAAAAGGCGGGTGGTGCTGGACACCCCAGCACCTAGGGGCTACTCGCTAACACCACTTGCCCCAACGGTGTGTTAAAAGGCTATAACGGGGCGTCTTTGTCTTTGCACACATTGCGTTGGGAGCGGGGGGTGGTGGTTAAGAGCGGTGGCGCAGTGGTTAGCGCACACGCGTGGATAGCGTGTGCTGTATCTTCATATATAAAAGGCAAAGTGGTGATTATGTGTCTGTTCAACATGTTTAGCGTACTTCCCGACATGCAACAAACTTGAAATTTGCCACGTCGGTACTTTCCAGACTGTAGACCATGCAAAAATTATAAAAATATACTTTTTTTGGGGGGGGGGAGAGCTCAATAATGCATTTATTTTTTGCACGGCAAAGTGAGCTGTGACGTCATATCTGTCACGTGACCCGCGCACGTGGAAGCGTAACGCATTGTAGTGTAGTGGTTAGCGCGCCGCGCTACGAATTGGCTGCCCGAGTTCGATTCCCGCTCACGGCCACCACCGGTGACGATTATTTGAACCGTCCTGGGCCTCCCCTAGGTCGACTCGGCCTCAAACGAGTACTGCTGTGGTGTGTGAACATCGCCACTGGGGAGACAAAGGCGGCCGGGCGTGCTGAATCCAAGTCTCGGGCGAAGCCGGGTAGTACAGCTCGTGTTATATATGTTGAACACGAAGTAGGCTTTTGCGATCAATATCATCCATAATCCAGGTGTTATGGGTTAGATCGCGTAAATATGTGTCGTTAAAAAACCCGCCACCACCCGACACAGCCAACCAGTGAGGTGTAGTGTCTCGTGAAACAGAACGTGGACAGCAGCACACGGGCGCTGTGCGTGTGGGACAAGCCCAGCCACAGCGAAGCGTCACGGCACTCCGATGGTGAACGTTGTGACTCTCCAACACGAGTCACGAATTGGCCACTTCTGTTCACGTGACACCACACCTCACTAGTTGGCTGTGTCGGGTGGTGGCGGGTTTAACGACACATATTTACACGATCTAACCCATAAAACCTGTATTATGGATGCGCGTGCGTGTGTGGTTAGCGCTCTGCTCTGCTACGAACCTGGCGACCCGGGTTCGATTCCCGCTCACGGCCAACAGCGGTGACGATTATCTGAACAGGTCGTGGGCCTCCCCTAGAGTTTGACTCAGCCTCAAACGAGTACCTGATGATGTGTAAAAACATCGCCACTGGGGAGACAAAGGCGTCCGGGCGTGGTGCTGGCTAACCACCCCCTCGTGAGCTGTGCCGGCCTTCATAGGTGCTCGCTAACAGCACTTGCCCCTACAGTCTGTTAAGGCTACACGGGGGATCTTTGTCTTTGTGTGCGCGCGTGGGAAGCGGTGGCGCTGTGGTGAGCGCACTGCCTGCACACCCCGGCACACCTGAGTTCAATTCCCCTACTTCCTCCCGCCTCATCATCGTCGTCGTCGTCAGCATCAGCAGCACCTGGGCGCTGGTGAAGAGAGACGAGGAAGCGATGGTGGGGGTGTAATGATGGGTGGGGGTGTGATGATGATGGTGTGTGTGTGTGATGGTGTGTGTGTGATGGTGTGTGTGTGAGTATGGTGTGTGTGGTGTGATGGTGTGTGTATGTGTGATGGGGCGTGTATGTGTGATGGTGTGTGTGTTTATGTGTGATGGTGTGTGTGTATGTGGGTGTGGTGTGTGTGATGATGGTGTGTGTGTGTGATTGGTGTGGTGTGTGTGATGATGGGTGTGTGTGTGTGATGGTGTGGTGTGTGTGATGGTGTGGTGTGTGTGTGATGGTGTGGTGTGTGTGATGATGGTGTGTGTGTGATGATGATGGTGTGTGTGATGGTGTGGTGTGTGTGATGGTGTGGTGTGTGTGATGATGGTGTGGTGTGTGTGAGGTGTGGTGTGGTGTGTGATGGTGTGGTGTGTGTGTGATGGTGTGGTGTGTGTGATGGTGTGGTGTGTGTGATGATGGTGTGGTGTGTGTGTGTGGTGATTGTGTGTGTGTGTGATGGTCGACTCAGCCTCAAATGAGTACCTGGCGCAGTGTGGTAAACATCGCGACTAGGGAGACAAAGGCGGTCGGGCATGGTGCTGGCCACCCACCCCCTCGTGTACCGTTCCGGCCTTCATAGGTGCTCGCTAACAGCACTTGCCCCTACAGTCTGTTAAGGCTATATGGGGGATCTTGTATCTATGTGTGTGTGTGATGAGTGAGTGTGTGATGAGTGAGTGTGTGATGAGTGAGTGTGTGATGAGTGAGTGTGTGATGAGTGAGTGTGTGATGAGTGAGTGTGTGATGAGTGAGTGTGTGATGAGTGAGTGTGTGATGAGTGAGTAGTGTGATGAGTGAGTGTGTGATGAGTGAGTGTGTGATGAGTGAGTGTGTGATGAGTGAGTGTGTGATGATGAGTGTGTGATGAGTGAGTGTGTGATGAGTGAGTGTGTGATGAGTGAGGTGTGTGATGAGTTGAGTGTGTGATGAGTGAGTGTGTGATGAGTGGAGGTTGTGTGATGAGTGAGTGTGTGATGAGTGAGTGTGTTGATGGAGTGAGTGTGTGATGATGAGTGTGTGATGAGTGAGTGTGTGTGTGCGGTTTAAGGCGGTTCCGCACTCAACTCGCTCCCAATTAGGCGACTCTTGAACGAGCCTGCGGTGACGCGGAGCTGGTCACCGTGCTCGCTAACTGCTGCTGCTATTGCGCTTGCGCACGTGACATTTGCTGCGTAATCATCATGATGATGAGGGTGGCGGTGATGATGACGGATTATTATTTAATATCAAATTCACGATGATGAATGATTAAAGAACACAGCATGATAATGGTGGTGGTGGTGATGATGAAGATGGTGCTGATGATTTAAAAGGGGCGAGTATGATAATGGTGGTGGTGCTGATGATGGTGCTGATGACGATGATATTTTACGGCAAGATTTGTTTAAATCATCCCGCAAAGTGATGATGACATCAGTAATTAATACCCATGCTCGAGAATTGATTAACTTGCTGCTGCTGCTGTTGCTGCGTACAATGGCAACGACTGATGATGTAGCAGCAGCTGCTGTTTATGTTTTGATGATACCAGTTATACGCAATCCCGTGTACAATTAGCGCTACCTCCTAAAGCGCTACTGTATATCCCACTTGCACTCTCCAGCCCCTCGTTTCTCCATCCCCGTACAACCGCTCGCACGATATCATGAATATATCACAAAGTCCCAACGCGACACCACCACCACCACCACGACGATCACCAAGCAGCTCACGTCACCAAAATAACCCCACCCCCCACCAGGTGTATCTCAAGGGAGGGAGAGCGAGCGAGCGAGCAGGTATCTCGCCCTCTCTCTCTCTCGGTGTGAACGCGGGGAAGTCTCCAATCTGTGTGCGGCTGTGACTGAGAGTGGGCACCGTTAGCCGCCTGGATTCGCCTGTGCGATTAGGTGGGGGGTGTAGGTGAGCGGGCGAGTGGTTGGTTAGGTGGCTGAGCGAGTGGCTCTGTAGGTGGCGTGAGCGTATCGGCTGGGTAGGTGAGTGCATGAGCGGGTGATGTGGCTGTGTAGGTGAGTGGATGAGTGGTTAGATGAGTGAGTGGGTGAGTTAGTGAGTGGTTGAGTGGGTAGGTGAGTAAAGAGGTGGCGTTTTCGGTAGGTAGTAGTGTGTAGGTGGTTAGGTGAGCGGGTGAGTGTGTAGGTGGTTAGTGTGAGTGGGTGAGTGTGTAGGTGGTTAGGTGAGTGTGTAGGTGGTTAGGTGAGCGCGCGAGTGTGTAGGTGGTTAGGTGAGCGGGTGAGTGTCTAGGTGGTTAGGTGAGGCGGTGGTGAGTGTGTAGGTGGTTAGGTGAAGGCGGGTGAGTGTGTAGGTTGGTTAGGTGAAGGCGGGTGAGTGTGTAGGTGGTTAGGTGAGGGTGTGTAGGTGGTTAGGTGAGCGCGCGAGTGTGTAGGTGGTTAGGTGAGCGGGTGAGTGTGTAGGTGGTTAGGTGAGCGGGTGAGTGTGTAGGTGATTAGGTGAGCGGGTGAGTGTGTAGGTGGTTAGGTGAGCGGGGCGAGTGTGTAGGTGGTTCAGTGGTTAGGTGAGCGGGTGTGTAGGTGGTTAGGTGAGTGTGTAGGGTGGTTAGGGTGAGCGGGCGAGTGTGTAGGGTGGTTAGGTGAGGAGGGCGAGTGGGTTAGGTGGTTAGGTGAGGCGGGGTGTGTAGGTGGTTAGGTGAGCGGGGTGTGTAGTGGTTAGGTGAGCGGGTGAGTGTGTAGGTGGTTAGGTTGAGCGGGTGAGTGTGTAGGTGGTTCAGTGGTTAGGTGAGCGGGTGAGTGTGTAGGTGGTTAGGTGAGTGTGTAGGTGTTTAGGTGAGTGTGTAGGTGGTTAGGTTGGTTAGGTGAGTGTGTAGGTGTTTAGGTGGGTGTGTAGGTGGTTAGGTGTGTCCAAGCGGTGGTGAGTTGGGTCTGGTAGGTGAGCCGGATGTGGTGGGTTGGTTGGTGAGTGAGCTGAGTTGTATGTGGTGTTTTTCAGTGGGCCGAGAGCTAAATAGGCGTGCGTGTATGTAGCTGGGCGTGGGTGGGGGGGGATGTAAGTCGCAAGCACGTGTATGTGTGTGTGTGCGCGTGTGTGGGTGGGTAGGTAGGTAGGTGGATAGGTTGTGCGAGTGGTAGGTGAGTCGCCGGCGGCTGAGCAGGTTCAGTGGCCTCTGGGCGCGAGGTGGCGACGGGGAGGGATCAATTCGCGACCGACGATTTGTACATCCCAAGTGATGACCGCCGCGCTCGCCATTCGGCGAGAGGAGAGACGCACGGCGACACCCGTCGACCTCCGTCCTGGATTTAGCCGCGGCAACCAAAAACGCCGCCGTCGCCACCGCCTGGAGACCCACCGACACTCGCCCACGACGAATCGGGGCAAGAGAAGCAGCCACATGCGGGAGGAGGAGGAGGAGGTGTGAGGAGGGTGGCCGGGCTCGCATGCCTGCCAAGATGAATTCGGTCTCAGCCTCTTCGCCGCGATCGATTTTGAGATGCGTGGTGAGAGCGATGCCACCGTGGAACTGGACGGGAATGGTTACGATCAGCAGCAGCAGAATCATCATCATCATCAGCAGCAGCAGCAGAATCATCATCATCAACAACATCAGCAATCGCCGGCCAGTACACCGAGGGTAAGTGGCCTTGCTTCATCAACATTTGATGGAGTCCCGTGACCAGAGATTTGGGAGTGTGAATTCTGTAGGGCTGAGTCGGTAAACAATTGTGGGGGGGGTGGGGGGATGGGGGGGGGGGGGGGGGGGGGGGGGGGGGGGGGGGGGGGGGGGGGGGGGGGGGGGGGGGGATTTCCATTTCCTTCTCGAAGCCCGAAAGAGGGAGGTGGAATTTCGACCTCGAGATGGAGCGCCCCAATTGCCTTCGATGTTCGAGCGGTGAACCGCCTTCGGTTTTTTTGCTTTACGTATGAACACGTGTTTTGAACACATGAACACACGTGTTTTAAACCTATGTACACACGTGTTCATTCATATGTACACACATGTAAAGACCCCCTCCCTCCGTATAGACTTAGCAGAATGTCGGAGCAAAGGCGCCTGTGATGGTCGGCATCGTGGCACACGAGGGAGGGTGGGCCAGCACCACGCCCGGCCGCCTTTGTCTCCCTCGTGGCGATGTTTACACACCCACCGCCGCACCTGGGTACTTATTTAAGGCTGACGCGGACCTAGCGGAGGTCAATGGGCCGGTTCGGTTGTCACTGTTGTTTGGTCGTGAGCAGGAATAGCGCAGTGCGCTAACCGCTGCGCCACCGCTCCCCTACGATATCCACATGCACACCTGTACCCACGTGTTACTACCTGCTCACATACGCACTATACCTACATCATTGGTGTAAATCGTTACTTTAGTAACGTATAGATATTTTTTGAGATCTGATTAAAACAAAATAATACTGAACGATAAATCATCATCACGCACAAGACTCAAGTACAATCTCAATCCACTGCTGGATGAATGTCCCCTCCCCCTACGCTGTGTCGGTTTGGCGGGGGTTTATTTGACCATACTTCACCACGATGATCACTGCCAGCGCCGCTTCAGATACTATTCGCCAATGCTGTAAGGCGAGCCCGTGTCAGTGATGTGTTACTCCTTTTCAAAGAATGTTCTTGAAGATCTACAGAGCTTGATAATTCGTACAGATGTCCGATTCTACGCGTATCGGTACGAACAGGTCGTAATAAAACGCTTAGGGAATGTCACCGTCACCATCCACCACCATTATTGCCATCACCACCACCATAATCACCATCACCGCCATCGTCACCCTCGCGGTGAAATGGCGCTGATGGTTCCCGCATCATCATCACCCGCATCATCATCACCCGCATCATCATCACCCGCATCATCATCACCCGCATCATCATCACCCGCATCATCATCACCCGCATCATCATCACCCGCATCATCATCACCCGCATCATCATCACCCGCATCGATCATCACCCAGCATTATCACCACCACCATCGGCATCACGTAGCGCTGATGTTGCCAACATGATCATCACCACCACCACCACCATCGTCACGCATCGCGGTGAAATGGCGCTGACGATTTCCATCATCGCCACCACCATCACCACCACCACCATTATTATCACAATGCTGATGTTTCCATCGTTATCACCATCATCACCGCGGGTTCCTCCAACATTCATTATAATCACCATTGACAACAATGTCGTGACTCTTCAAGGTGACGTGATAATGTCCCCCCTCCCCCCCACCTCCTCTCTCACTCCTCCTCTCTACCGGGAGAATTCGCTCACCGGCTGTGTGAATCTGAGCCAGGCTCACCGGTGAGCGCCGATAGCAGCGAACCACAGACACTGCCTGCGTGGCTCTCATCGCTGTGCTGTGGCTGAGCGTGGCTTGCTGTTGATCTCTTAAAGGGGGAGAAACATCGTCCCCATTTGCTAGCGGCCTTGGAGCGTCTGTGGGTGAGCGCGTGGCTCGCTGATGAGAACGTCGTACGGTGCGCTCTCCCGGGTCGTGCACGCTTTCGCGGGGCTCGCTGATGACCCCGAATAATGGGGAAACCATTGTCATACTGAGCTGCTTGGGTGGGTGATGATGGGGCTGATGTTGGGTGATGGTCAGGATGGTGGGTGATGGTGGGTGATGGTCAGGATGGTGAGTGATGGTGGGTGATGGTCAGGATGGTGAGTGATGGTGGGTGATGGTCAGGATGGTGGGTGATGGTGAGTGATGGTCAGCATGGTGGGTGATGGTGAGTGATGGTCAGGATGGTGAGTGATGGTCAGGATGGTGAGTGATGGTGGGTGATGGTCAGGATGGTGGGTGATGGTGGGTTATGGTCAGGATGGTGGGTGATGGTGGGTGATGGTCAGGATGGTGAGTGATGGTGAGTCATCGTCAGGATGGTGAGTGATAGTCAGGATGGTGGGTGATGGTCAGGATGGTGGGTGATGGTCAGGATGGTGAGTGATGGTGGGTGATGGTCAGGATGGTGGGTGATGGTCAGGATGGTGGGTGATGGTGGGTGATGGTCAGGATGGTGGGTGATGGTCAGGATGGTGGGTGATGGTCAGGATGGTGAGTGATGGTCAGGATGGTGGGTGATGGTGAGTGATGGTCAGGATGGTGAGTGATGGTCAGGATGGTGGGTGATGGTCAGAATGGTGAGTGATGGTCAGGATGGTGGGTGATGGTCAGGATGGTGAGTGATGGTGGGTGATGGTGAGTGATGGTCAGGATGGTGAGTGATGGTCAGGATGGTGGGTGATGGTCAGGATGGTGGGTGATGGTCAGGATGGTGGGTGATGGTCAGGATGGTGAGTGATGGTGGGTGATGGTCAGAATGGTGGGTGATGGTGAGTGATGGTCAGGATGGTGAGTGATGGTCAGAATGGTGGGTGATGGTCAGGATGGTGAGTGATGGTCAGGATGGTGGGTGATGGTGAGTGATGGTGAGTGATGGTGAGTGATGGCCAGGATGGTGGGTGATGGTGGGTGATGGTGAGTGATGGTGAGTGATGGTCAGGATGGTGGGTGATGGTGAGTGATGGTCAGAATGGTGAGTGATGGTCAGGATGGTGGGTGATGGTCAGGATGGTTGGTGATGGTCAGGATGGTGAGTGATGGCCAGGATGGTGGGTGATGGTGGGTGATGGTGGGTGATGGTCAGAATGGTGAGTGATGGTCAGAATGGTGGGTGATGGTCAGAATGGTGAGTGATGGCCAGGATGGTGGGTGATGGTGGGTGATGGTTGGTGATGGTCAGGATGGTGAGTGATGGTCAGGATGGTGAGTGATGGTCAGGATGGTGGGTGATGGTGGGTGATGGTGGGTGATGGTCAGAATGGTGAGTGATGGTCAGGATGGTGGGTGATGGTCAGAATGGTGAGTGATGGTCAGAATGGTGGGTGATGGTCAGGATGGTGGGTGATGGTCAGGATGGTGGGTGATGGTCAGAATGGTGGGTGATGGTGGGTGATGGTGGGTGATGGTGGGTGATGGTCAGAATGGTGAGTGATGGTCAGGATGGTGAGTGATGGTCAGGATGGTGAGTGATGGTCAGGATGGTGGGTGATGGTCAGGATGGTGGGTGATGGTGGGTGATGGTCAGGATGGTTGGTGATGGTCAGAATGGTGGGTGATGGTCAGGATGGTGAGTGATGGTCAGGATGGTGAGTGATGGTCAGGATGGTGGGTGATGGTGGGTGATGGTGGGTGATGGTCAGGATGGTGAGTGATGGTCAGAATGGTGAGTGATGGTGGGTGATGGTGGGTGATGGTCAGAATGGTGAGTGATGGTCAGGATGGTGAGTGATGGTGGGTGATGGTGGGTGATGGTCAGGATGGTGAGTGATGGTGAGTGATGGTGAGTGATGGTCAGGATGGTGAGTGATGGTGAGTGATGGTCAGGATGGTCAGGATGGTGAGTGATGGTCAGAATGGTGGGTGATGGTCAGGATGGTGAGTGATAGTCAGGATGGTGGGTGATGGTCTGGATGGTGAGTGATGGTCAGGATGGTGGGTGATGGTGAGTGATGGTGTTGATGTTTGTGTTCTCCGTTGCCGTGAGTCTTAATTCCAGTTGCGAAACGTCGTGGGGGAGATGGGGATGGGGCGGGGTATTGGGGGAAGGTTGGGATGGAGGGAAGGGGTGAGGTGACTCTCCCCCCTCCCCCTATCCCCCCCTCCCCCTCTCCCTCCCCCTCTCCCCGTGTATCCCGTCACGCATCATCACCTTCATCCTTCATCCTCCCCGTGCAGTCCTCCTGCACCTGCTCTCTCCCCTCTCTCCCCTCTCCCTCCCCTCTCTCGCTCTCTCCCCTCTCTCCCCTCTCTCTCCCCTCTCCCTCCCCTCTCCTCGCTCTCTCCCCTCTCTCCCCCTCTCATCCCCTCTCCCTCCCCTCTCTCGCTCTCTCCCCTCTCTCCCCTCTCTCACCTCTCTCACCTCTCTCCTCTCTCCCTCCCCTCGCTCCCCTCTCTCCTCTCTCCCTCCCCTCTCTCGCTCTCTCCCCTCCCCTCTCTCCCCTCTCTCCCCTCTCTCCCCTCTCTCCCCTCTCTCGCTCTCTCCCCTCCCTCCCCTCTCTCCCCTCCCTCCCCTCTCCCTCCCCTCTCTCCCCTCTCTCGCTCTCTCCCCTCTCTCGCTCTCTCCCCTCTTTTTGTAACGATCAGAGTAAGCAAGAAGATGCTCGCTGTAGTCGGCACTTTGCTTCGGTCATCATTTCGGTTTTTTCAATGCTTTGCTTTATGTGCCATCCCCCCCTTTTTTAATGAAAGATTTCACAAAAGACGATCTCCTCTCCTCCTTACCCCTTCCATCTCTCTCTACCCCCCCTCTCTACTCCCTCTCCCTACTCTGTCTATGTCCCCCCTGTTTTCTACATAATATTTCTCTCCCCTCTCTCGTTCTCCCCTCGTCCCTTGTTTGCATCGACACTCAAACATTCAACCATCGCTGTGGGAAGTCGCTCCCTCTCTTCTGCTGCCCCCCTCTGTCTGGAACGCCCTTCGCCCAGCCGTCCGTGCTGTGGGGGGGGGGGGGGGGTCGGGGGGGCGTCGTGGGGTGGGTCGGGGGGTGGGTCGGGGGGTGGGAGGTGGGGGGGAGCGTGCGCGCACCTATTATCCGGCCTCACGTCAT